AGCCTTCAACTTTGGAGTGTGAATCCAGAGAGGCTAGATTCTAGTTTTTTTTTTAGCATTGAATTTTGGACCTTGAATCTTCTATTCTTCAGAGAGGCTAGGTTCAAGAAATTTGTGTGTGAGCCTTCAATCTTGAATCTTGAATCCAGAGAGGCTGGATGGAAGATTTGTTTTGGAGCTATTGTGTACCGCTGCAGTGAAACATCCCTCGCACATCTTTGCTTTTGCCACAAACCTTTCCGGATAGACCAAAAACTGATAAACTCGGAAATAGACTCTATTGGGGGAATAGTTGTTTTTTTTGACAGAATGTAACGTTTCTTCGTAGTGGAATGCTTCAATAGATGCAGCAATACTTAAAAAAGCCTTACCTATGGGGAAAGTCCTTGAATGGATGCGGTACTCCTTTGCAAGAGTATCGGACACATTGAATAAATTTGTGGGGCATGTGTCTGAAAGGTTCTACTTCTTTGTAATAGATACAGTAGATGCAAAAAAACTTTGAACAAGTCTTGCTTTCAAAGGAAGTCCGTGAGTGGATACAGCACTCGTTTGAAGTATATAGTGTTGCATTTCTGAACACATAGAGTAGCGTAGCATCACTTTTGTAATATCCAAGTGCCAAAAGTGACACATGTCTGGAAATAGTTGTTTTTTCTTTGGGAAATTGTAACGTTCTTTTAAGCTAGCATCCTTTAATAGATGTAGTAGTACTTTGCAAGATTCGTTCAAGGGCGCGCTATTCCTTGGAAAATGGCAACAACATGTGAGGTCCATTTACAAAGAGGACAGCATTACTTTCATAAGAAAGTTCTCTTAGTCTATGCAGTATTCATCTAAAACAGTAATATATTTAGAACAGAGAGTAGTCTAGCATTACTTTCTGCAATGTTCCATTGAAAAGAGGGACACACTTAAACATGGTGTGGCATTCCTTGAAGAAATGTAACATTGCTTTGTCATAGAACGCTTCAATAGGCTCAGTATTACTTGGAAAAGTCTTACGATAGTTTCAAAAGACAAAACTGAATGGATGCAGTTCTCCCTTGAACTACTATTCTGAAAGAAATTTAGACGTGTAGCATCACTTTTTGTAACATGCCATCACGAAGAGTAACACATGTTTGGAGAATAGTGGAACCAGTGTAGTGTAATACTTCAAAAGATGTAATGCTGTTTAAACTAGCATCCTTCTCTACATGCAGTAGGGCCTTGCCTTTCAAGGGTTTAGTATTCCTTGGGAAAGAACAGAAACATGGTGGAACGTTTCTCTGACATGCACAGCACTACTTTACTATGGATTTGTTCAATGGATACTGGATGCATTGTTTTTTAAACGTATAGCAGCGCACAAGTTTATTTGTTCAACAGTGTTGTATCATGACTATTATGTTACATGTTATTTTAAGAGGCTGTAGCACAAACAGAGTGGGCAATACCTTCAGAGAGACCTTCAACATGTGCAGTATTGCTCTAGAAAAGGATGCCACCTTTGGAAAAGAAACGGTACGACTTGAGTCTTGAACCCAATAACTTCCCAACAAAAGTTTCTTCAAACACATCTTGAAAACAAGACAAGCAAACATATTTCAGGGTTGTGGTGACATGTTGCACCAATCAAGGGTAAAAAAAATGAAAAACATATTCAAACCTTGCATTTGGCCACAGTGCCGTGCACATTTTATACATGGTTGAACTTCAATGACCAGCGAAGGTCACAATACAGCAACCAGACATGTATACTGCATACACACATATATATATATATATAAATATGTGTGTGTGTGCACGTCATCTTTTAGTGCCATTCCCAGCTGTAGTGTTGCAACAAGTGATAATATCAGCTGTGAGAAAAGGGATGTCAAGGACATATCTACTACCCAAAAGGTAGGTCTTGGGAGGTAGTGTTTGTATAAATATATATATATGTGTATGTGTTTATTTATTATATACATGTATATTCGAACATGATGGTTTCCCAAGGAAAACACTCTACAGCACAAATGGTGTGTTTCCCATATCTATGTTAAATTCAATTCCCGTAGGGCAACCCAATTTTGGGTGTATGGTATGATGATCTATCCTGGTTTATAATCCTCCCAATTGGTAAAACTGGATGAATCAAATTGTTTGGTTTTTGCTGCTTCATCGCACGTGAGTTACCTCTGATCCTCTGGGGGTAATTGGCCAAGGCAGCTCAGTGGCAGGGTGATCCAAAGAGAGGTAACCATGATTCAATAACATTCAATATCATAATATATATATATATATGTTATCCAATATGATTCGTCATAAATTTGTCATACTGTGGAAGATTATGGCATATGTTGGGCAGTGAGCAAGGTTTATCAATAGTTCATCAATGTTCAATTTCATCAATGTTCATGATATTCGGATGATTCTGCTGGTGTTTTGGACTGGGGTGGCGCACAGTAGTCAGCACTGACAGGTGTTCAACAGGTCTTCTCCAAGTCGACCTACAGATACTTGGCATGGGGAATGTAACCTGAACAATGAGCGAAACCCAATGACAAGCCCCAACCAACCCCAATGTGTGGTCGTTCATATGCTTAATACCATCCCATTTCTGGTAGAATTATGGGGGCATATAGTTTAGGATGTTTAGGATATGTTTGTCCACATGAAACATGAATTCTGTCAGCGACAAGGCGGTGCACAAGAGTTAATGTCATGTCACTTTGGCCATCAAGGCCGCATAAGATTTACGTGTTAGGTCCAAGGAGGTTTATCGTGTTTGAAGCGATATTTACTGTATTTGCCCCTGCAACATATGGATGTGTTCTTTTTAAATATGAGATCATTGGTGTGGGATTTTTGTCCCCAGGAAAACCGCAGACAAACCGTAGATCGCACGGTTTTTGGCGTAGAAAGGACATTGTTTGGCATCAAACAGGCGGTGTTTTGATGTGTTTTGCATAGATTTTGGAGCTGCAAAAAAAGTCCAAAGTGGCATTTCTTTCTTATGAGAAGGCATGTGATACAAAATCCATCAAAAGATGGGCGAACTGGAGCCAGTCTACAAAATACAAAAGAAGCGCCTTTGCAGCAAGAACATCCTTTGTTACAACGGACATAATTATTACGTGCTTTGGACTGTTTGGGTGATTTCGGTGGGGGGGAACTTTGTTTGTTAATGACTTGGTCGTTTGGGGATGCGATGTCTCGCCCTGCGAGGTCATATCAGGAGCAACCACATTGTACGACAAGTCTCTTGCCTGCATCGTGGGCATTGGAACACTAGCACCACGTGGGGGAGAGAGTCAACAGGCAAGATACACAAGGTCACTTGAAACTACTTGTTTTTTAACCGTCTTGACCTTTGCATCTTAAGATTTTTAAGATGCAAAATCCGGTGTAGAAACTAAACATGGCTATGGAAAATCACCATTTTTAATGGGTAAATCCACTATTTCTATGGCCGTTTTCAATAGCTTTTTGTATGTTTACCAGAGGGTAACATCATACAACCACTTGACTTCTGGTCTCCATGACCTGGATGGAGTCGCTGCCCATTGAGCTGAGGTTTCCTAGCTATGATAACTGCGGAGTGGCTGGAAAGTCGCCCTGAAACACCCGAATTCATCCCTTTCCACCCATGAATCAGCGCGAAAACATGCTTAATTGAGTGAAACGTTCAGGTCCATACAAACTATATACAGTACTTGATGATGCAGGAGAAAGAGGGAACAGCCTGGCAGGGAGTCAACCACTCCAGCTATTTGCGACCCAGTGGGATTCTTTCAAATCTAAACCATTCTTCACCTTTTCAATGATAAGTCATGGGTGGATTGGTTGAAGCTGGGGCAGCGCAGATTGAATCAGGCCTTATATGCGGGCTATCATCCTATCATCGGCACAAGAGGAGAGTTGACATACTCAGACGATCCCAGATGATGGTTCAATATGGTTGAATAATGCAACAATAATGCCAGCAGCCCTTCTAATGAAAGCCACAACGATCATGATCATGTGGAAGTGATTCAGTTGCCAAAGAATTTCCGTTTAAGGCTTCCGAAACCTGGCTTGCAGAATGGACATCTTTGGCCCTTTTCATCCGACGTCAACTCAACATATATGCCAACTGAATCCTCGCACGTGGCATTCCGATTTTTTTTTGCAAATTTTGCCCAGATTCCATTGTCATGGCATGCCGCTGCAAAATGCACAGCATTTTCAGCAATGGAGCTTTTCTTCGACGCCACGGTGATCAGCCAACTGTCGCAGAGTGTTTGTGAGAGGCAGACCGGGACGACTTTGTAGGACTTGTCCAGCAATGGCCATCCAACATGAAACAGGATTCCAACAGCAGCTTGAAGAAAACCTGCCCAACTCACAACCATTCAGATGACATGAATGGTGATGTGATCACTTGAGTCACCTTGATCACCTCCGCCCTCAGTAATGACGGAGTAATGGTGTATCCGGCTAGCCAAAGATGCCAAAGCATCAACAAGAGATGCTTCTGGAATGGTTTTGCTCAGGCTCTTGTTGATAATGACTGGCTTTTGCATTGGTGGAAGAATTTGGAGACCTGCACCTCTGTATTTGCACATGTTGGTACATTTATAAAAATATGTGCGTATATATATATGCTTATTCCTCATATGTGGGTGTTTGCTTTATTGTCGCCATTTGCCGGACTGATCTTGCTTGTCCTGCCGATCCCGACATAGTGTTTCGTTTGCCGGGGTTACCAGGAGAGTCTCATCGAGGAATTTCGTCGGAAAATCCTGGTGCAGTGAGTGTCACTGTTTTTTCGTTGGGTGAGGGCTGGGTTTTTCAGGCTGCTGTGTGTGTTTGTGTCTTTGTTATTTTTTTCATGTTTTTTCCCTCTAATTGTCCACATAATTCCACTAGGAAATCAAGAGAGACACGTTCGCAACCCAGTTTCGGGGGGTTAATGACTTAATCTTATAGATTGCTGTAGTTTCAGGCAGAAATGGGCTGAGGTTGCACACATGCACCCATCAGTGGCGCAGGCAGTGATGGAAGAGGAGGGAGGTACAGCCTTTGGACAGCAGACCTTGAAACGTGCAATTCTCCAGGCCAGCGTCTCCCAAGGGGAGAATCAGGAGATTCCCAAGAGTTGGTCTTCGACTCGCTGTGTTTTTAAGCGGTGATCACCCGGTGATCTATGGCGATTATTTGACAAACTTCCATCACTATAGGATTGCAATGGTGAATGTTCATCTTGTTTTTGAATCCATGGAAATCACGAAAGGTAGCGTCAGCTACCTGAGTTCTCCGTGCTTCAGCACAAGCTTAGGGGGTATTGGGGGGCCAGCCCACGGAATTCATGGAATTCTCGCCGTTATGTATTGGATATCAATTATAAGGGGGGGGCCCCCCCCCCCCGAAAATGGTCATGGGTTCAATTCCCACGGGTGACGCGGTCACGGGCCCCCACATTAGAGGCACACTTTCCATGAGGGAGATGTCCCTGTAGTCCAGCATAATTGGTATGCTTCAGCCTCAATAACAGTTGCTGCAAGGGGTCTTAAAAAGGGGTTTTAAATAAACCCCTTTTCGTGCATCATTTCACGCTGCACAAGACACCGTATCATGCAGTCATGCTCTGGATAAAATCATCTTAGACTGCGCAAAAACGTTTTTGGTGTATCATCTTAGGGGCGCAGCATTTTGACACCACTCCTCTCCCACTACACTACCTTTCGTCCGCCTCCGCCTGCTCTCAAGTCTTTGGGAAGCTATGGAAATCCTCATCAATTTTAGCCGTCCCTCTGGCTTCAGGCCGCTAGCGAAGTGGCCAAAACCATTCGCTGCAAGGCTGCAGGGCCTTGACCTGTGATAGGATGGCAAGATTGGAGTAAGGCATGGGATGCTGGTATGATCTATTCTCAATATTTTCGTGAATTGCTATTTTTGTTACAATGTACTGGTACTCGATCTTCTTATTTTGGAACGTAGCATTCTTGGATGCATTGGGGTATGGTTGGTCAGGCTGTGTGGCCAGTTGCAGGGGATTCTAGGCAATTTGTTTTAGATATTCACCCCACAATAGCTTTTAGGGAGCTTTGCGTTGTGGTGATCACACAATACATCAACACACAGCTTATTTTGCCACACTTTTACCTTGAGATGGTCATCATAAATGAGCACAAGGGGTGACAATTTGCTGTACTGGAAAACCCATTTTCATCATAGAGCACAGCCCTACCTGCCACAGGAGACATGGGATCCTTGCTCGAACGTGGGAGAATGTGGGAGGACGACTTTAGGATTCTGTTGGAAAGAGGTATATAAGATGGCAACGGCCAGGCAGGATGATGAAGGATGATGAACCTATACATCGCAACAAGATGAAGCAATAGCTGCTCCATGTTTTTGGAGGTCACTTTGATTTCGTAAAAACAAACACCTGACATTTAAAAAGATTAAAAGGGATCAAAGTTTGCCCACCCTCGTGAGCTTTCTGCGTCTCAGCCTTCATGGGCCCCTGTTTCCACGCCATATGTATTTTGTTCGCATCACATTTCCTATAGTAATATATAGTTAATTATTGATTTATTATATATATATAGTATTGATTTATTACACACATATATATATATATATATACACATTATGTATATGTATGTGAATTGTGACTGAACGTGCTACTGTTTATATATATATATACACATTTAGTTTCTGAAAACCACGCGCAAGGACAATGCAATTATATATATATATATAACTTCATATATGTGTATATGCATACATCTACGGCTCATATAGACATATACATATGTGTGTTTTCCTCAACAATATAAGAAAATCATAAACGCATGTTTTCAGCAGCCAAGGGCCCCAACATGGCAAAGCGCTTGGACCGATTGAACCACTCTACGGAGACAAGCGCAGCGTGGAGGGTGGCGGTTGCCAGTTCAAACAAGCCATGCGGGGAGATAGAAAAAGGGTTGCTGCATTGAAAAGCACCATGTTTGGCCATGGTTTATGGGAAAAAATATAATAAATCATAAATCGCCCTGTTTCAGCAAACCCAGTTCTCTCACTCCAAAAGGAATGGACGGAAAATGGGTACACGATTCATGCCCATTTGAGCAATTGCTAGTTCATCACTTGCCTGATAGTTGTTATTGCTGTGTGTGTTGCGCTACCAATTTTAATTCATGTTGAAGGATCATAATCCGTGCGCAGTTTGAAATGGACTTATATCAGTTTCAGCACGTTTCGCATGCTGTTCAGCCCGGAAGTAGGGCACATCTAGAACTGATGAACCGCATGTGCAACATGCTGTAGGCTTTGCTGCAGCATTGTAGTGTTCCAACTTTCAACGCATATCCTCCAATTCTTACCATAATGATTCTGACATAATACATATTCAATATTCTTACCATATTTAGATGTTAGCAGAAACAAAACCAGCCTTTAGAGCACTTACCCAACCCGCCCAGGAGATCGCTGAAGAATCCAACAAGCGGTTGTTGGTGGTGGAGGTTGCACAACCTGGGTGAATTCTTTCGGAGTGGATGGAGGATCATCCGTGCTGTGGTTAACTTGATGGTAAAATGATGGTAAACATGATGATATCCATTCTGGCATATGATTGCTTGTGATGGTTTATGATATGGATTGTTTCTCATAGTTTATCATCATGATCCTGTTGATGATGCTTATGATGATTAGAACAATCACACCTCAAATGGATTTAGTATTGTTCAAGACAACATCCTGCTTTGCCCTTCTCAGATATTGACCTCAAGACATCCAATTCTTTGTGAACGCCATACCGAGCAGGCGGAGTTGAACAAGCTGCCAGGGGCTCGTAGTGTCAAGGCAGTACACGCTTGGGAAGCCCAGCGAAGCTAGCACTGGTGGTTGGGCAAGAAAGGATGTTAGTGGTGTATCAATATATATATATACATATGCGGTATATTCTGATGGGTCATTTGGTCAGAATTATTCCCTGTCAGTCCAAGACTATTTTTTAAATTGTATTTGGCAAAAGACTCATTTTTTTCTGCACATTTCTCGTTTTTCGATGGGGTCGCTGGTTCTTTGACCACGCCATGGACTGAAGGGCCAGGTTCAAGTTTCCCGTGCAAGTCAATGGCTGGAGCTTCCTGGCGTCATCAACTGTAATGATGCACAGTGTTTCGTTCAGTAATTACTGTTTCCAGCTATATATTCCTGTAATTTAATTTAAGTTCGAACCGAACTTGAGACCCCATCCAGAAATTTAACTGCGTTTTGCTGCACAAATGCTGATGTGAGCACAATCCATGCAGTCTCCGATTTACCACCCGTCATATGAGCAATACAGGCACAGAAACAAATCAGACAAAGTATGCGCGGTTTACCGGCAAGAGTAGTGACTAGTTTTTGTTAGCGTGGTTCCAGCCTGGTCCTGGCGTGGCTTTACGCATGGCGAGACTGCATTTTCTACAAATGGATCAAACTTAGGCGGCTTTCTAGGACTGACAGATTCAGCCGTCGATGACAGACTAGCCACTGATTCTAGAATGTTGCACAATCAGATGCCGGACCAGCAACAAATTCAGGGACGACTTCTTTTGGCTGTATTTCCAGGACAGCACGCAATCCCCTCCAAGGCTGAACTGCATAATAAACCCTGAAAAGGGGCACACAACCTAAAGCAGCAAAAAACTTAATCTGAAGTCAGTACTGATGTGACGCTGGGTAAGGCCACTCAATCCGCGCAACAAGCGTGGCGCGCGTGACAGACAGGTGCCATTTATTGTTTTACGGTTTTACCTTAGCTATACATGTTTTTAAAATAGCCGTTCTTTGTACTTACAGTTAGTGAGGGGGCCAGGGATGTCTTCAACATATTAATTTTAAGCAGGGTACCTCTTCAGAAACCCGGCTGATGTGATTTTTAGCTATTTTTCGAGACCAACTAGGTAAAGATTGGAGTTTTTCCATTGAGCATATTTGTCTCCCTGCAGTACCTCAAACGAGAAAGCAATTGGTAATCTACATCCTGGGAGATGAATTTCCTTCCTGCTTCACATAGATCCCTTGTCTTTGTCCATTATTGCTGTTTGTCGGTCTCAATGATGTTGGAAAAAACAGCACGAAACAACTTCAATTCTAAGTCTTTTCGCGGGTGAACCACAGTTTCGGAGGGGGTACGGGTTACATGCATCATTGAAAAAAGGCAAAAGGTCCATGACACCTGCGCGTTGATGGCCCAAGAGCAAGCCACGATTTGCTGATCGCGGACACTCGTCATCACGTCGGCACTGTGCTGAAGCAATGGCAAACAGCTTCACTTCTTTGCAAAGTGCCAGCGACTTCGGCATTTGAATCATTTGAAGATTCGGGTCAACTGAAAGCAAGGCGGCAACAATTTGTGAATGTTTTTCAATTTCAGCAGCGGGGTCAAGTTGCAACTGTTTGGAATCCATTTTGTCCAAGTTGGTATCTTTCAGTAGATGTTCCATTGTTCCATCCAAGTTTACACAATTTCCGCAAAAAAAAAAGTATGAATGACTGTTCACCTTTCAGGCGCCCAACGCAGGACGTGTTTGGAATTTGGGACTGAAAGGCTGGATGTAGCCAAAATTGCGTGGTCAAAATTGTGTGAGCCAGTTTCGCCAGTTTCTATAGTCATTCTCTACACGATCCCACTACACAGATCTATAGTCAATATGTAGATGATGCAGTTTTCATGGCTTTTCCCCCAGAGAGTTCCCCTTTTCCGCTGCACGGCCCATTTTCCTACCTCCCAGCGCCGAGGTGACAGCCGCTCAGGGCGTTCAGGACGTTCACAGCGATCCTGTCGCTCACAGCAGCTGTCAGAGGCTGTGGTTGAGACCCTCATCCGCACGGATGTCAACCCGGGACTTCACAAACCTGTAACGATGGGTATGTGGTATGTGGTCTCTATGTGGGGTGGGGATGGGTGGGGCAGTAATGTAATGTTTGATCCGAATACGCTTGTCCCCCCCCAAAACAAATGCTATACCCGCACTTGAGTAAGGATTTCAATTGGAGACCATTGAAATCTAATTAAAACGTTTTTTTCCCGATAAACTTGTGTCAATTTGACCTCATGTCGCATTCTTTTGACTCTTGACACCCGGGTTGACATGTAAATGCTGTTGCCGTTTGGATCTTAGGGCTCCTGTGGGGTTCAGCATGTTGGCTGCGTTACCTTTTCCATCTTAAGTTTTTTAGTAAAGGTTTAATTACTAAAGGCGTAATAAGAGAAAGACAAAGAAAAAGAGAAAGAGAAAGGGAAAGAAAGAAAGAGAAAGAGAGAGGAAGAGGAAGAGGAAGAGGACGGAGGAAGCGGAAGAGGAAGAGAGAGAAAGTTTGCTCTGGAAAAGTCTGCTGCAATGTGAACCCTGAGAACAAACCTACTAAAGTGAATTGGACCCTCTGATGGCCCAGTTTGGACAAGTGTGGAAAAACTGTTCTTTGATCAGGGTTTCATAAGGGATTTGGTTCCCTTGGGAAAGGCAGACAAGCAAGATTGTTCCAGAAACAATGTCAAGTTGTGTTCCACACAAACATTTTTTTCAAACAAAATGGTATGCCAAGACTTCTTGCCACAATAGTGAATCTTCCAAACATTGCATGGGTTCAGAATAGTTTGTTTTTTTGCCACAATAGCGAACCTAGCTACTAATCAGGATGCAACATTAACGTTCATGATGCTGCGCTCTTGATGCTACGCCCGTGGCTTTCTCACGAAAGTGGGATGGGGTGGGGTGGGTGGGGTGGGTGTTTCACACGCAAATGCACATGCTCCTCGATTGTTATCGTGATCAAATGTTTCCACTTGCCAACTACTGTTGCTGCAGCCTCTGTGGTTGAGATGATGATGATGATGATGATGATGATGATGATGGTGATGATGTGTAGACTAGGCCTGGGCATTATTTCATAACTTGGAAGTTTGGGAACTAAATTTATTTGATCATACTCCTTAGTTTCAATTTTATTACATCCTGTTCTAAGAAGATGGCTGGTTGATGTCCCCCTTTCCGTCATGGCGGGATACTTTGAGGATTGTGCCACACATGAAGCAGATTGTTCACAAGGAGGTCCGCCTCGCTCGACAGAGGCAGCAGGCGCTCTTGGGAATTTGATACGTTTGTCCCATATAGCTTGGTAGTTTGATGTAGTTTGAGCTGGCGTACTTTCATAGATTTTCATAGAGGTATTTCAAGCATGTGGGTTTGTCTAGAACTGGGGTGATTGGGTGCCCAAAATGGACAAACATGACAACATTACCATATAATATATCATAGTTACTGGTAGGGAAAATGAGTATAAACATTTATAAACCATGGGATTTAGGGTGACAACCAAAGCCAGGATATTTCGTAAGTTTGAGTCGCCAGGGTAGTCTATGTCTGAGCTGTGTAGTCTGAGTGGCCGTGTCAGGTGGTGGACTTTCTCAAATTTCATAAGTTCAACCCCGAAGACGTGAATTGTCCCCGAGCACCTTGGCCGCTTCACTGGTGCCCAGTGGAAAGGCCCTGGATCCAGGGGCGATCGCAGCAAGAACATGCGTTTGAGGATGTTTGAGCTATGATATCCTATGATTCGTCTTCGATTTTTTGCCGTATCAAAATATGTCCAAGTATTCGCTGACGCCATGGAACTGTAAGACTAAACAACTCCAGCAGCATCTCATTGAGGGACCAAAGTCTGCAATTAACTCTGGTCTATGTTCTGCTCTTCCACAAACTGTCATAAATTTGCAAGAGATCCGTTGGTTTTCTATGGTAATCATTTATGGTATTTATGCATCACAATTGTCCTTCATGGTAAAATCCATGCAAGTTCCCTGGTGTGACAACATGGCTGGGATTCTAAGGTGAGCTGTCTTGGTTTTGTTCGCTTCTTTCCCTTGCAGCCCCTTGGTGAAGACCCGAACCGTTGGAAAGGTGTTGTTTTAGGTTTCCTAAAATGGGTTGGCATTCCAAATCATCCTAAGATAAAATAAGTTGAACCATTTTGGTATTGAAACCTGTGGTCTTGGGGGTCCACCATTTGAAGAAACCACTATATAGGTGTATGGATGATTTTCACAATTTAGATGTACATCTACCTGGTTTTGGGGATTATCGATGCCTGCACGGACCTATCTTCCAACAGCGGAGGATACATCAACTATCAGCAGTAGCTTTGGGCGCGGTTTTGATTCTTTTGGGACCTACCATCTCTGGGTGATTTGGCCGTTTTGTGAATTCATTGATGTGGAAAAGCTATGGTGTCTCTAGGTGAAACGATCTACCAAGTGTGGGTTTTCCAGATTATATGGAGGAGTCCTGAAATATCCTCAATGTATCCAAAATCATCCAAGTCATTAGAGAGTTGAAACAAACATGGTGACTTGGGGGTCCCCTATTTTTTGAAGCCAGGGAATTGATCAGACCAGGCACGCGGCACAGAAGAAGGACTGGGAGATGTTGTACCTCCTGCACCATGGTGATCAACGGAGAATTTCTTCGCCGCTGGTGAGGGATGGTTCACATAATCTCATTGCTACAGTCAGTAGATATTTATATTTAATTCATTGATACTATATACATCATAATGCTATTATACTCTTGTATTGCTCTATATTTGTTTGTTATATGTTCATTGTTTTTTTCTGCTCCATACGATTACTGCTACATGCACACATTATATATTAATATATATATATATATTATATATATGGGAGCCGTCCGTAAAAGCAGATAACAAATTTATGAATTGATGCATTTACTACTACTACTCCTCCTGCTGCTACTACTACTACTCCTACTCCTTCTCCTACTCATACTCCTTCTCCTACTCCTACTCCTACTACTGGTATTACT